ACATGGCAGTTTCTCATAAACCAAAGGCACTTTAACATCATTAGCCGTCTTGTAATAGTGAATATCAATCTTTCCAATATTTGCTATCTCTGCAGCTGTGGTGGAACACCTCGGTATTGGAGAATCTGGATGCTTGGCCGGAGTAACAGCAGCTATTATCCCCATACCATGAAAAGTGTTCTGTCCGTCCAACGTACAGACATTGTGGTCTACATTATCTGCTACATATTGTACAAAGTGACCAGGGTTAAACCAGGAATATCTGTGCCTTTTGTTTTGCGCACTCATTTCAAATTTCTTAACTTCAGTGTAAGAGGAGCAAAACTCATGACTATTCAAGGAATCAATTAAAAATTTGGATCCATAATGGTGGTGCATTTGGACTGCCAGGCCGATTTGAAGAGGAGCTATCAGGACCCTGGGCGAGCGGCTTGAATAATGGCTTGCCCTATGGAAGCAATCTTTTCGCTCTGCACTCTTTTCGTTAAATATTGTTCTCAGAAACAAATACAACGTTTCAGGTAGAAAAGCGCAGTTTTCATCCAAAGACGAAATCTCTCCAGGTAATGGATAAAAACTTTTAGAGATGTCCTTACTTTTGATGTCCGTTTTTATGAGATCAGCAGCTGCCTTAATCAATCTGATTTTATCGGCTTCAGGGTCAGCATCTCTTGAAGCGTCATAAAAATTTTGCAAGATGGTCGAAGCTGTACTCCTAAATGTTACGACATCAGCCTTACCATTGATACTAGCAATAACGATGTTTTCTCCAAAATGCTCTTTAAGTTTTTCTTTCATATACCGTGCGCTGTAAGGTTCTTGGTCGTTGAATTCTGCCATCTTATTCATAAGATCGTTCACAGTTATCTGCTCGTCATCGTTTTCCTTAAGATATTTTGCAACCTCCAAGAATGCCTCTTGCCTAGACTTATCAGTTGGTCTGCCTTTCTTTTGTCGTTTGCTTCCGTTAGTTTGATGAGAAAGGGGTACTTGCTTCCCCGTCCGAAAATTGGTACTGCAAACTTGGTGATAAATTGCACCCGCTGCAATGAGATCTTGGGAAAAAGATATTCTGCCATGCACTTTCTCAGCCCAACCGTCTCTTGGCTCCTCACAAATTCGGTTTAATGTGGTTTGAAAATCTAATGTTCTAACAGGAAAAACATCATGTCCTCTTTTGTTTCCCGTAAGTTTAGCAGGCTGGCTGCAAAATAAACATCGTTCACCAAAATCAAATGTTGGTTCACTGGAACGCAGGGTACGACTTGCACTAGAGGATGTTTCTTCATCAGCCGTATGTTTCTTTATGTAGGAACGAATAACCTTTACATGACAGTATTTCTGCCTGCATTTTTGATGTACACGCTGTCCTGCAAAAGTTTGGAGTGTGTCGCCACGTAGTTTACTTGCATTGTTGATACCATCGCTTCCTTTTTGCCTAAGTTCCACTGTTTCGAGGCCATTGGTTGATAATTCCTTGCAAATTACACAATACTCCATCGTGTGATGTTAACCGGACGATAAACCACATCTGTAACCATCTATACTTTACCTTCACACGACATTTTTCACTAAAGTACCACTCTGGACGTCCAACAATGCGTTTCTACGAATACTCGTCTAAATAAATGTCTTGTGAAGCGAAGAACTTTGTTAGTTTGAAGGCCAGAGAATCGTCCAGAGCAGTTGTACGGAGCAAGAATTTTCCAAACCAAACAATCGAGAGTCTTTAGAGTCACTGATACACATACATACTTATTGATAGAGAACTAATTCAAGGAAAACTGTTTTCCAGTTCTCGAAATAAAATTTCTTCGATGTGATCAAAAACTTGTTCAAATCTTTACATTTAAACACGTGCACGCATTTTGTTTTCCAATTACGCCTATTGTTTTTAGCTGTTTGCTGTAAAAATTTACGCATATATTTTGAATAAATTGCGCGGTAGCCATTTTGAATTTAGAAAAAGAATTCAACCATAAAACTGTAATTTCATCATTTTATCCTTCGAAACGTTTGGTAGACTTTTGACATGTTATTTATAGGCATCAGTAGAATAACTTCCGGCAAAAATAAATTCTGTTGCAATTACTTCAAGGTTCGGTCTTTTTTTCTCGTAGAATGACTAGACTACTGGTGGGGACTGTAGGGCGTGGTAAATATCCACCGGACTTTGTTGAGCACGGCAAGATCATTGATCTGCTTTCTTCCTTCGATCACCAGCTTTCTTAACTCTCTCTCTGCTCCAACAAAGGACTTCCCGTTGTCGGAGATAATAGTAGCTGGCCACCCATGGTGATACATGAAACGTCGTAGGGCTTGAAGGAAGGACTCGATCAGTTGACAGGCTTTCCACTATTTCCAGATGGATGGCTCGCACGGTTGCGCAAGTAAAGAGAGCACCCCACGCTTTAATACACTTGTTCCTTTCATACTGAATGGGCCAAAGAGGTCTACTCCCGTAACTGAGAACTGAAGAGAAAAGGGCAAGGCTCTGTCAGAGGTAAGTCTGCCATTAGAGTGGTGTGTGGCAGCTGATGTAGCTTGCGACAAACTGCACAGTCTCTAACGAGTTTCTTGGCAAGGCTTCATCCACATACAATCCAAAACTTTCGGCAGCTTTCACTCACGGTTCTTTCCGGGCCTGCATGTGAAACTTTATGGTGAACATCTTCCATGATTAGCTGGGAGATATTGTTGGTTGAAGACAGCAACACGGGATGCTGCTGGTCATAGTCCAACTGTGATTTCTTTAGTCGACCACCTACTCTGATGATGGTGCCATCCATAAATGGAGCCAAATCGTTAAAACGATCTCTCCAATCAGGCAGGTCTCACTATGCTCTGGCAATCCAGAACGTTTCTGCGGCGCTGATTTCCTCTGGCTGCAACAGACCCACTCTACTATTTCTTGGGTATGAATGTGAACTCTATGTTGTGAATGAAATGGAGGACATACGCTGTGACTCTTGTGAGCTTCTGCCAACTCGAGTAATGTAAAGGATCTATCAGTGGTCTCTGATTGCTTAATGGAGCCATTATCTTTGTTTCCTTTTTCTCGGGATCGTCTTCTGTGCTTTGACAAACTGACTTGATTGGCCACTCTTCCTTGGGGCCTTTTAGAAATTGTGGCCCATTCTTCCAACACCCATCGATGTCTTCCAAAGAGATGCCTCGGCTAAGGTCGTCAGCAGGGTTAAGGTTTGTTGGAACAAATCGCCAGTACTTGGGGTTCCAGGTAGACTGTATCTCGGCAACACAAACTCCCACAAAGTTCTTAAACGAGACTGACTCAGAGTTCAACCAATGTAAAACGATCCTGGAATCTGACCAGAAAGTAACTGACACAGGCTTGATCTTGAACTCGTCACAGATGGTTCGGGCAAGTCGGGAACCCACGAGGGAAGCCATCAGCTCTAGTCGTGGGATAGTCGTCTGTCGCAGTGGCCTCTCGCTTTTGCTGCAACTAGACGTACTTCTGGTCCTTTTACTGTTGGTCACAGAAGATAAGCCACAGCTCCATAGGCCGCGCCACTCGTGTCAGCAAAGAGATGCAATTCTGAGTCACCGGACACATTTTCTGGCTGCAGGCATCTGGGAAATTCGAGAGTTTGAAGCCCTTGGATCTCTTTGAACAATGTTTGTCAACGAACTCTCGTTTCGTCAGGCTAAGGGTCGTCCCAGTCAAAGTTCTTCGCACGCCAAATGTCTTGTAACGCTATCCTTGCCTTTATCATGACAGCAGAAGCTAAGCCAAGGGGGTCGTACAGTCTCGAGACATTGGATAGGACAACTCTTTTCGTAAGTTTTGTGACGTTTGGCTCTTTAACCATGAAACTAAGGACGTCGGTCTGAGAGTTCCATCCAATGCCCAATGTCTTCATGCCTTTTTCTCCATCTAGATGGACAGCGGTCGGTACAGCTGTGCTTTTGACAGATTTTTCTTCATCAGGTTTCTTCAGGAAAACTTGTGACAGTTCATTTAGGACGATTTCAGACGACGATATCCACTCTTTAATCTTGCAGCTGCTGTTTTCAAGAACTCGGTCAAGTTCTTTAGTGCTTTGCACAGCTTCCTTTGTTGTCGGACAAGAATGAATCAAGTCGTGCATGTACCTGTCACGTCTCAAAATCACTGCGGCATGTGGATTATCTTTCTCATTATCCTTGGCCATTTTCAGCATAACAAAAGGTCACTCTTTGTGGGGCATAGATGGTGGGCTTCTTTGTAAATTCCAGGTTTCTCCTGAGGCACCGATGGACGTGTGTGTCTTCCTCCAGTAACTCAATTTGTATGTACACCTTTGCGATGTCCCCCACGAAGGCAGTAGGTTCTTCTCTAAAACGTAGCAAAACTCCGACCAGATTTCCAATAAGACATGGACCCTTGTGTAAAAAGGAGTTTAAGGAGACACCTTGGTACTGGCATGCCGGGTCGAAGACTATTCTTAAAGGAGTGCTTTTCTTGTCAGGTCGGTATATTCCGTGGTGAGGGAGATAATGCACCGGTTTGACATTGGCTTCTGAATCTGCTTCGCTCAGGCAGCGGGCCCAACCTTTTTTTTCATACTCCATTATGGCATTGTTGTACACTTTGGCCTTAGCTTCATTCTTGAGTAGGTTCCTTTCCAAAGAGAAGAGCCTCTTCTCTCCGCTGGTGGATAATTGTTTGGAAGAAGGGATTTGTCCTTTTGCCAGGGAAGCCCTACCATGTACCTGTCTCCTCGATGCTTACAGGAGTTCTCCATTAGTTCTATGGCTTTATTTGGCGACGTGGCTACTCTTGAACAAGGGCAATCTCTTGCTTGGACGCCGAGAGTTTCTAGCTCATAAAACTCTGCGATGTTCGACAGTTCGACAAAACTAATGCTGCAAACGGTATCTGAATTCTTGGCATTGTCAGAGCCAATGGCAAACCATCCCAATTTGGTTCTCTTGCCTACAGGATCAAGCGGACAGCCTTGGCGAATTTCACATTTGGCATGTAGGCGACTGTATTGAACGCCTAGAATAAGGTCTACAGGGCCAGCCTTGTGTGACAGGACAATGTGGCTGAGATGGTTAAAGGACAATAACCATTGTCAATCTAATGGAGGGATCCCAAAGACAGTTTTTTCAATCTCGTGCGCTTCTATGCTGAACTCCTCACTGCCTTCAACGGGAGAAATCCAGAACTTGAGACGAATGCTGTCGGGCTGTTTCACTGTCTCTCCTCCAACAACGGCCAATTCTACGTGCTCACGCTTCCCTTGCAAACCCAGGGCTATAGCGAAGTCTTAACGGATCACAGTCGTAGTTGCTCCACTGTCAATCAGAACATTCCCCTTTCTAATTCGACCATTGGGTGCTCTAAAACGAACTCTTACGACTGGCAAGATGCCTTTCTTGTCCAACACAGATGCGACTCTTCTTGTAGGAGGGTCTGTGTGTAACAGGGAGTGGTGGAACCTTTTGCACCCATTGATCTCACATTTCTTCCTTGAGCGACAGTCTCTTGTCATATGACCTTTGCTTAGACAGGAAAAGGACAATCTTGCCTTTGTTACAAACTTGAACTGTTCGTCCACCGTTGACTCACTCAGGGTGGGACAGGTGGGTACTGTGTGGCTACCTTCGCATATTGGACACTTCAGTTTTTTGCCAGTGGTCCATCCGGTGGACTGAATCCCCTTTCTTCCTCGGCCACCTCCGCCAAATTCAGATTGGATATCGCCAAAGTCTGGGTCGAATTCGGCCTTGACACATTTCCTCACAAAGTCACTTGTGTGTTGAAGCATGGGAACCTGGCCTCTTTCTCTGAAATCCGCCACCACCCCTTTCCATTTGTCTACGAGATAGTCAGGAAGACGCATGACAATTCTTCTCAAGTTATCGTTGGCGTTTACATCTGCATAATAATTGAGGCGGTGCATGATGGAAAGGCAATTGATGATATCCAGTGAGAATTCTCTGAGAGCTTGTCTGTTGTTCCTTCCAATCCTGTCTCCCATAGTCAGCTTGTTCACCACAGCTCTGGCTATTACACTCGGCTGGCCGAACTGCTCCTTTAGACCCTTTAGAGCTGTAGCATACATTATGCCCTTTGATCCCACGCCAGAGATCGCTCGTTCAGCTTCGCCCTTTAAGAGCATACGCAACTGAATCATTTGCGTGTCATCTTTAAGGTGTACCTTTTCATGGATGTGGATCTTGAATTGATCTATGAAAGCTAATAAGCTAATAAGGAATGTCCTTATTAGCTTCTAATTTGAAAAGCGCATCAGCTATCGTCCTACGTCAGACTTGGGAAGGACTGTCTCTTAAACTCAAGGAGGTTGTCAATCCAAAAGTCAAATGAGCAGGCATGCTCCAGCTTGCCTTTAGAAGCAACATTTAATGCCACTTGATGTGAAACATGCGGTTGTTTTGACGTCTGTATGGTCTGTTGAGCTTCAACATTATTAGTAGAAGTGTGACCAGCGTGATTTTCCACGATTGTCAAATCCTGGGCAGGAACGGGCTGGACCTGGGAATTTGCCGATACATTAGTGCCATTTGACTGAACTGAGTTCCCGACAGAACTATTTGCGTCACTCGCGTTACTTGCATGACTAGCCTCTCCAACAGAATCGTCTGCGTCACTTGAGTGATTTGCATCCCCCACAGAACCACTTGTGTTACTTGCGTGGCTCTGTCCCCCACAGAACCGCTCGTGTTACTTGCGTGGCTCGACTCCCCCACGGAACCGCTCGTGTTACTTGCGTGGCTCGAGTCCCCCACAGAACCGCTCATGTTAACTTGATTTTGTTCAAGCGCGATTAAAGAAACTTCCACTTCTTCTTCAATGGAAAATACATCATTAGCCAAATCATTTTCCCACTGATCCAGGGTGTCGTGTTCTTCTGCCTCCACTAGATCATACAGCTCACCATTCTGCTCTCGAGCAATTTCGTAGTCCTTTCGAAGCTGTTTTATTTCTTTCCCCAGACGTGCTTTGTTCGCTTGAACTTGATCTTTATCGAGTATCTCACGAATACGCTTAATAGCCAAGGTTATTCTTCAGCGGCTTTGAGACCTTTGACTTCTCTTCTTCTTAAGGGCATTCTCCAGGTTTATAGTTTCTTTGCTGGTTCCTCCACCTTTGTCTGCCATCTTTCATAAACAGAGGATTATCTACAAGGGTACCATACCAAATGGCCGGCTAAATCGATGCTCAAATCCTTTAGAAATTTTGGTATAGACCCCAGCAGACAGCAACCGAGACGAAGACTCCGTTAATAGCGTTAATAAAGTAGCAATTCCGAAAATCAAGGTACAAATGAACGATTCTAAGATTACATTTCGATCATATTTGAGGCGTATAGCAAAGCCGATTTCTGAATATAGTACAATAAAGTGGCTGGAACGAGTTTAAAGACGAAGTAATTAAGGAATAAGATGATTGTACCTGAAGGGTAAAACCTCGCTCAGTTGAAAAGGTTTGAACTGTCCGTCAGGAAATTACTGACTGTAAACACTGTGTGAAAACAATTGCTGTCCGCATGTAACTTGTCTGAGCTACTTGAGAACGAAAAACTAATAATGAAATATATCAGGAGTTCGATTGCTCAATCATTTAATGATCAACTAACTCTTGCGGTTAATGTTAAATCAAACATATTGTTCGTAATATCTATTATTCCTTATTGGTTTCTTAGGAGAGGGGAAACTGGAGAACTCATATTGCTTTTGCTCATATGGACAGTAATATTTTCAAGAATTACAGCACCATGGAATAAAAACTATTTTCTGATTTAAAACCTCAACAAAATGATGATGTGGAAACTTCAAAATTAATTTAATATTTATTTCAGGTATCCTGATGAATTAGCATGGCAGATAAATTTTACTAAAAAATTTATCAGAAAATCCTCGTCAATGGAAAAGTTTCACAGTTTCCTGGTCCATGAAACCGAAACTGTAAGTACAGGTTTGGCAGGGTCCGCAGAGTCTTGAAAAGTCCTTGAATTTTAGAGGGAGTCCTTGAAAAGTCCTTGAATTCCATTTTTCTGTGAATAGTCCTTGAACTTTCTTCAGCTTTGAATGTAGAGGCCTGGAAAGAGTTTTTTTAAATGCTTTTTGGTTGTCCAAGACAGTATATAAATCGTAGCTTAGAGAAGTTAAATGTGATTTGTATAAAGCATTTTTCATATTTTATGCACGAATTAACTAACAACTTAAGACAAATGAACTGAAAAATGTAGAGAAGTTGGTAGAGCAAACAGGTCAAGCCTTAAAGTCCTGTTAGAAGTGAAAGGGAATTGCATTTTTGTACAATCTGTGAAAATACATTCCTTATACACTGTATAGGTAGTCCTTTAAAATCTTACATTATCCTTGAAAACTTCTTGAAAAGTCCTTGAAAATGGTTGCATTCAGCAATGGTTTCAAAATGTATGTTAGTAAGGATAGTCAAGCCAGCTTTCGCATTTTGGAATCAAATTTTGACTTGATTTTCCCCATACCCTCCCTTTATCAGCTTGGGTATTCAATCGCTATGTCAATAATATGAGATCACAGTGCCAGTAAACACACTGAAAGCAACTGCCAAGATCTTTTTCTGTTTCATTTATGCATAATATTCCATGAATCAATAAACCACAGTACAGTCAACTCTTGCCTTACGGACACCCAGCCATAACAGACACCCAGTTATGGACAGCAGCTAAACCCTAGGCAAAAATAAATTACAGACCTTTAACTAAAATGAACTCCTGCCATTAGTGACTCTCTCTAATGTGGACACTAGCTCAAGGTCCCTACTGTGTCCGCTATAAAAAGAGAGTTGACTGTACAGACCTTTAAAAGTAGTTACCATTTACATGGGGAAACGGGAAATTCCAGTTGGAAAATCAAATGATTTGCACCATTCCATTTGAGAAGCTTCAGAACATATGGGCTGTGATTTGGGGCAATGTAATTCATGTACTCTCTTTATAGTCTGTTCAGCTGATTTTAATACATTTTGTAGTTGTTTTTTCACACCATGTTGAGTTTTAAAGTTTTATGTTTATGCACAACATTTCCACCCGGGTGGTCTGTGTAAATGGTAAGGACCCTTTATTAAGGTTGCTTACCATCTTTGCTACCTATCTGTTGGGTAGAAGAAGGTAAGTAGCAATGATGGCATTTGTGATTCTGCAGGTTAAACTGGAAATAGAGCACTTACATTCATTGTGGAGACATGATGGCTGAGTGGTTAATGTCTCGAACTTTGGCTCTGTGGGCAAGAAAAATGTCTTTCTCCAACTACAATTGGCGACAAAATGAGTTGAGACACTTTTGCCCTAAACTGGGCTTTTTTACGTTCTACTGACTTCAAAAGGAGGAAATATAGCTTTTCCTCCCCCATTCCCTCCATGCAATGTTGTACTGATGTTCGAGCTACCTACAGAAAACAACAAACACCCCAACTTTGAATAGAGGGGAAGGGTGCGGATTATTTTGTTCTCTGAAGTTACCGTATTTGATTACAATGTCTCAACTATTTTGTCACCAATTGTAGGTCTATTTAATGGGTACTGGCAAAATAATGCTGAGGATAATGCTGAAGTTGACTTGCTACCTATCGAGGGGTGGGGGGGGGAGTAGCATATTTTCCAGGATGAAGTGCTGCCCTGTGCCCTTTCTAATGTCTTCAGAACAAAATTAGAACTCTTAAACTCTATGTAGAGTAGTACATACAGCAAACATAGAGATCAGATCATGTGTCAAGTAATGCATATATCAGGTTACTGTGCTTCTGAAGTTCAAAAGCCAACTAACGTTTGTGTTCTTTGCTGCCGTCAATCATCGTAGCAGACTTCTTAGGAAAGAGAAGCTTACTTCAACGAGTTCAAATTAAAGTTAAGGGTTTGTGGTTTGCAATTGGAGGATTTCAATCCACTTTGTGTGTTTCTCTGTTTCAAGGTTCGTTGGTTGTGTTTATAATTATGATTGACGGAAGCAAAAAAGCAATATTGTTGTAAGCTGGCTTAAATTTCAAAGTTTGCATGTTACTGAAAAGCACAGTAAAAACGATGTAAAATTGTAAAACCATCACCTGCAATTGTTTATGAGGTTGTCGACTTTTGGTGTTTGACTGGGGATTTTTTACAATATGTGCCTCTCTTGGAGGCTTGACTATTTAATGACATAAAAACCATAGTGTTCTGTCTCTCTTAATTCAGGGAAACATCAGTCGCCAAGAGGCAGTCAGTATGATCCCGCCATTGCTTTTAGATGTAAAACCAGGCCAAAAGGTATATTGCTGGTATAAACAGTGAATAATGATATTTAACAATTATTGGACAAGGCTGAGCAAATATTGTTATTTGTCAGTGGCGAGCAGATCAATTATTTGCCAAAAAGCTGAAGGCTGAGGCAAATAATTGATCTGGACACTGACAAATCAAATTATATTGCGATAACCAAGTACAATAATTGTTTTATCATTTGATCATCAAGTTTTTTTTTTAATGTATATCTTTGGGAAGCGAAGTGGTCTGCCATTTTAACGCAAGAGTGATAGCAAGAAGGAGAAAAGTGTGGTTCATTTATGCTTGAGAAGAATATTATTTGCAGCCAAACAAAGTTGGACAACATTGTGCATGAGCAGACCATTATTTGTAGGCAGTTATTTGCAGGTCACGTGATGAGCTCTTGGCCAGTGCAAAGAAAGAAAAATTTGCAACGAATGATGATATGTTTTTTTTATGTCTTATCTTTGCTTAAAACAAGCATATCACAGACAATTTTCCCACCTGTCATTTGATAGCTAGGCTTCCCTTTTACGTAAGACTTTTGTTAACTTTGCACTGTCAATCTGTTCAATAACAGTTTTTTGGCACAATTACCCCAAAATGAAGGTTTTGGGACACAGTCAGGTTTTGAGCAGTCATGTGTGTGTTCAAGACATGTTCTTGTTTAGCACTCCGAGTGTTACAAAAAGTTGTCTTGCATGACCTGCATGACAAACCAGAAGTGGTGAGTTTTGGGCAGATAGCGATAGTGATAGTGAAATGGCGTTTTTCGGCAAAATTTTTGGGGTCAGTGGATTAAATAGGAAATGCAAATGCATAGTAATAGAAAATTTTGTCCCTTGTTTATCTCCTTTGCGCGAGTCAAGAATATTAGAGACATGAGATTGTCTTCTCTCTGATAATTTTTATTTTTTGTCAATACAGATATTGGATGCATGTGCTGCTCCTGGGTCTAAAACAGTTCAACTTATTGAACTTCTTCATGGTGAAGAAACATTAGGGATACCTGGTAAAGTATACAATAATGTATGTTCTGTTTTGGTTCGGATACTAAGCTGGGTATCATATTGATAAGGCATGCCTTGTAATGTTTTATCAGTGTGTTACTACTATACCTTTTGAAGGCCAGCAGAAGGCAGAAACTGATGTGATGGTTATTTCCAAGAGTTTACCTTTATTAGAACTGCATTGCATTTTGCAAGGCAAGGTGTCTAACAGAAATTTAAAAGATGCAGAAAGGATGGCATTAGGTGTTGATGCTGTCTTTGATTGTGTTGACACATGTCCATGAACACCATACATAGGAAGAATAGTAAAATTGCAGATATGCATAGTGTCTTTTTATCCTGCAGAGGGTCTGGTTGTAGCAAATGAACTTCAAAACAAGAGATGCTACATGCTTGTTCATCAGAGCAAGAGGTTGCGTAGTCCCTGCTGTTTGATCACAAATCATGATGCTACTCTCTTCCCCACTTTGTATGCAAAAAAGGTCAGTTAATAGAATGTTTGTAGTCAGAAAGTATCAATACCACCCACATGATGGATAGATGATTTCAGGAAAGGTGGGTAAAACACCCGAAAAATCACTTACTGTGGCCAGTGTCCTGACTGTACCTTTATAGGGAGGCAAATTTCCCAGTTCAATCAAGTAGTTTTTTTACCTTAGGGGTTACATCGTTCTTGATGGCTATGAAGTTCTACTGTAGTAAAAGTTGGTTAAAGTCAACTGGTTTACTGGACAGCACCAATACCATAATTCCTGAAATTTGTGTTGAGTATAGATCTGATGATCACCTTTAGCTAGGTTGTTTAGAACTTGCCAGTACCCTGAGTCAAGGTCTATGGTATTGAAGTACTTAAAATCCTGAAAATGAACTGCAGAGTCTTTTTCTTTTTCAAGAGTCTTTTTAGGAAAGTAATTTCTCTTTCAAAATCCCATTGCCTTGTCAGTGGAGGAACATTTGTGTCAACAATTTTCATTGTACAAATGACTAGAAATTCATGAGAAGATGATCCGCTGTACATGCCAAGATCAACCCTCACAGCAATAAATCTCAGTGGAGATAATAATAGTAGATAATAATAATGTAGCTCAGTATTCACAGAATTCCAACGTGTAAAAGCTCACGACAGAGATTGTCTGGTTGAATTATGAACGATTATAAAATAACTTAAAACGTGTAATTTGTATTTGACGATAATTCCCTAAAATAAGCTCCAGGAGGCTTATTATACTGGTCATGTTTGTGTTTTGATTGAATGAATGGTAAATTTCTTAATGGAGGGGGTTTTATTTTTAGAATTTTATGGGTTTTTGCCCCAGGAAGTTCATGCAAACGGTTATTAATGCACAAAAGAAGCAAGCCAGTTTACACAGTAGCAGGTTATGTTTATACAGAAATTTTCCTAGACTAACAAATAGGATAATGTTTTGAGCCTTGACAAGGCCTCTCCTTTTTGAGACTAGAGTTAATTCAGTGAAAAAGTCTCTTCCTTTAAGATAGGATGAGATGGTTAGGTATGTTTCCTTTGTGGGTACAGAGTGTGAGCAAAATTGGAACGATTATAAAAGAACTAAAATTTTGAATTGAAAGGTTTCTTTAAAAAGACAAGTTTTAAGATGACCAATTTTTTCCAATAGTAGCTTTATTAAATAAAGTATGAATTTTTTACTGTGGCTACCATTTTTTTCAGGAAGGTGGTGAAAAGGTGCCAATATTTTTTGACAGAATACTCTGTGATGTTCCATGCAGGTTAGTTGAGTCAACGTCAGTCATTTAAAATGGCAGAACTATGACGGTTGTCGAAACTCACTGCTTTGTGAAATTGATTTTAATGTTGAAATCACAAGTACTTGTGAGCAATGACGCTCACAACCGAAATAAACAAAGGCAACAAGTTCCTAACGGCCATAAAGAGTTCTATAATTGTAGTTCTTTGCACATATTCATCTTCTGTTCTTTTTGCACATGCACCGTAAGTCATGTGCTCCCTTACCTGACTGCGAGCTCAACTGTTCAGATGTCAGATTCCACATGTTATAAAACTAAAATATGTATCTTTAACGAGGAGCACGCTTCAAAGGAAACTTGCAAGTTGCTTTATCAGTTTGATGAATTCTGGACTAACTTATGTTATTACTCGAGCAAGAGATAATTGCTTCAAAGCATTGTGTCAAGCATTTGATTCTGACTCCACTAACACGAGATATTCAGTGTGAAAACGTTTATTTAGGACATGTCAGTCAGTCATCTGATGCAGATGTTAAATCAATGATATCGTTCTAGTAAAATACTAATATACGTTCTAAGCTAGAACTTGTACCATGCCAGATACAAAAAACAGTGGCCAAAAAATGCGTGGAAACGTATTCCCCTACTGATGCAGTTGTAAAACTCCGGGGAAAGGGATTGCAATGAAAATACATTATAATGTTACATAGACTACTCCAAAATTATACTAATGGAAAAGGGTGTGTGTCTGAATACCTAAATTCATAAATTATATATCGAAGTAAGAAACGTTATTCCAAAACATACAGTTCTGAAGACGTAAAAAAATAAAATATAGAAAACGAAAACTTACAAATCAAAACAAAAACTATCAGTTTGACAGAGCTGACGTATTATCGCGCAAGTCTCACGCCAAAACCGTAAGACCTGAAAATATAGTGACCGGAATCAAGAACGTAAGGACTCACCTTACTTAAATAACACCTCAAAATCTTGACAGGGCAACTAGGAGTGCCAGGACTCTCAGAAATCACTACTTCATTACCTTTCCTAGGTTGATCGGTCTTACTTCTATCAACATTAATAGCGACATAAGCTGTATGAAAAACAATGTCTCCATACCTAATATGGAGAACTTCATCAATTCTGAAAAAACTGCAAACGCCAAAAGAAAAATGCAAACATTTCTCAATTCAAGGAGGTTATCTAAAGTCGAAGCCTCCACTAGCTTTTCTAACATATCAGGTGAAACAGGCTCTTTTTTATTGAACAAACTAGTTCCAGTTAGCTGCTTGGTGGCGTTACTAACAGCTTTGATGATAGGGCTATCAGGCGGCGAAGGAATGCCAGCCAAGTTATGTGCCCATTGGATTCCATAAATGGCAGAGCCCAAAGCAGAATGAGAACGAGTTGTGGTCAACATGTACTGGAGGTAAAGGGCAACATGCTCTGTACTGGTGGGAAAAACCTGAATTTCGTCTCTAGAACAGGGAAAATTTCTCCATTTCCAAAAGGATCTTCTGTAGGCATCTGTTGTTCCTGAAGCTATGGATGCAATGTTGACCGTAGACTCCAATTTATAACCAGGTCCCTCAATGACGGGTCTTGGAGGGCATGTAGAGACTTCCAAATGCCGGAACCTAAAACTTCTAAACAAAACAAGAGAGGAAACTAACAAAATAGAGAAAGAGACGGAGAAAAAGAAAATGCAAAATTAGTAACATACAACGTCACAAGACATAAGCATCAAAAACAACATTCAAAACATTCCCAAGTCAAAACGAGTCCTGGGACGATCAAGAAAAAATTGAATAGACGCTACCAAGTGCGGCGACGAATGCCACTAATCCTAAATCACACGTGAATTAAACACCAAGTGAACGACACTGGCGAGCCACCAGGGGACAAATGGAACAACATAATGCAATGATACTGCTGTACATGTCACCACCGGGGGGTGCCAGGTCCCAATAAACATACGATACTTCACTTGATGCAGAAAAAGAAACCAGTAAACCTACCAATAAGGGCACGAATGAAGAGAATACACCACGGGGGTGCAAAGAATAAAACTACTTCCAGAAATGAACCAAAGCTATGTCCTGTAGATTTTGAACCACACTACTGACCTGAATAATTCTAACAACATTCTGATTTTTAGTGTATAAGCGTACTCTTTGGCCTATTAAATTACTCTCGAAGGACTGAAGGGCAAACTGAATCCCAACCAGCTGCCTCCAAGTGGAAGACTTACGAGACTCTTGAACGGACCAAGTTCGGTGACAAACCAGACTAGAATCTTGAATAAAAGCGCAACAACCCGTAGAAGAAGCATCCGCAAGCAAAACTTTGGATGGAACAAACGGAACCTGCCAGAACAGCTTACCATTTCAGGATTTTGAATTGTCCCTCCAAAAGAAAAGCCCTTTCTTCGCATTATCTTGAACCAGAACCTCCGAATTCCATCAACGCCACGGGCTGATGATAACGTGCAAAAATCTAGTCATAATTTGAGTGACATTCCCACAACTCAGTGCTAGTGAAATAATGAACTTAACGTAAATGAAAGGCGAATTATTTAAATTAGCACAGACGTCGTTCAGACCGGACCACAATTTGTCGATCCTAGGATCAACTGCAAATATAAAACCTGTCGGAGTGTCAATATGAAAACCTGGCTAAGAAAAGGTGGTGGAGGGCTGCCAGACAGATTTTTCATGATTTATGCCAAAACCACAGCGAAAGAGATCGGAATGAACTGAAGAACTATTAGTTTTCGCTGCCTCCAGAGTAGAATCAACGCCAATGCCGTCATCAAAAATTATAGCTATGGGAATACCTCGTATTCTCCAATGGGTCTCCGTGGGCTTCAACAATTTAGTGAAATTATAAGGGGCTGAATCCCAAAGGGCAAAGAGTAAAGTTAACATATCTAGTTTGAGAGGTACCAAAATCCAATGAAAATAACAAAAATCTGCGATGCTCGGGGAAAATATCCACGTGGTGATATCCTGACTTCAAATCAAAAGAGAAAATGAAGTGAAATAGCATCCCTGATAGTATGAAGGCATTCGCACTTAAAATTCTGTTTAAAAACATGCATATTGATGTGGCTTAAATCTAGGATAAGCCTCTTCTTACTGCTACTTTGAATTGAAACGGTCAAAGGATTGAGAATATCAGGAGTGTAAGAAAAACTCTCCTTGACGCGATTGTCACTCACGAGCTCCAAAATAGCCTCAGAGGCAAAATCAGACTCTTTCAAGGCTGACACATTGTTCTTTAAAGTGTTGAGGCAATGGCGTGGAAATAATAGGGGTCTTGTAGACTTCTCTGATAATACTCAAAACAAATTTAGAAGCTCCTAGTGATTTCCAATAACCCCTAACAGAAAGCTGTGAACGGAGGACAGAAGTAATAGTGGGGGACGTTGTTTCGTAATCAAAACCATTTAGCTCCTGAACAGAACGATCGGAAGAGAAAAAGATGCTATCAAACTGCAGGGAATCAACAAGTGAAAAACCACAGTCACTTGGATCTTCTGAGGATAGTCACTTCGAATAAGAGAATCCTTTTGGAATGCGAGAATTAGAAACTAGAGAACACTGGTATTTCCAATGGCCAAACCTGCCGCAAGCAAAACGGCTGCCTTGCCTGGAAGGAAAATCAGAGCGACCAAAAGGGAAGGAACAAAAATGGAGAAGCTACTGTAGACGTTCTGGGAGGCCAAAAATCGGAACCAGAAGGTCGCGGAGCGGAAGGATTATGCTTAGAAGATTTCTTCGCAGCTGAAGATTTAAGAGCCTTTTCAGCTCTGTCCTCGGCATGACGAATCCGTTTAGCGTCTTCCTTAGCATCGGCAAGCTCGCGTTGAACATACTCCTCAATGGTCTTCCAACCAAATTCGGACTTATCAGCTAAGATAATTAATTTCTACTGCTTGGAGAGCATTGACGTACCTTCAGCTAGGGACGCTTTAGCCTTCTCAACCGCGTTGGACTCGAGGTGGGATTTCACTTCGTCTAGACTATCCTGAAGCTTAGCAATGAATTTTTACTGAATCGTGTTTCCTTTTTGCGTAAAGGACTTCGGGTCCTTGTGTTGAATCTTCTTGATCTCGCGTAGTTGTTTGTCAGCAACGCCAGAGCTAGTTTGTTAAATTCCTCAGCAGAATCGGCCACTAGCTTTGAAAAACTGCTCCAATAATGCCTTGTTATTTTCAGCCAAAGAAGTAGAACTGAAATCCTCCACCTCTTTTGACACCGACATGATGCAACAAGGGAATTGACTAGAGAAAGAGGGAAATCGAAAAGGAAAACTATCAGAAGGACTGAGCTGACGTAGAATGGCGCAATTCATCTCCCGCCAAAATCATAAATAGCCCGATACTATCCTAAGAACACCAGGATGTCAGAATATCAAATTTCTGACTCATTCGTTCCCTTGTCTCTCAACCATCAGAAATTAAATTTTTCAAAATTGAAATACAATTTTAACATGCCCGTGGGTACCTATTCAGCAAAATTGTCCCATCTGCTCCTGATTTGCTAGTTTTTCCTGTAATTTGAATTATTTAGAAAAGGTTGCAAATGTATTTTGTTTACGTGCTGAATTTGCAAGAAAATTATGCGTCATTAAAATATTCTGTAATGTTTAGACTCTTCAGAATGCCTCTGTTTTTCTCTGCAGCGGTGATGGAACGCTGAGGAAAAATCCTTTGATTTGGAAAAAGTGGACACCACAACTTGGCATGGCATTATTTCGGTAATTAATTAAATAACTGAGCATTAAAAAAAATAAAGATTTTGCTATCTCTGATTCTACTGTCATTTATAGATAACTTTCCTTAACTATATTGAAATTCTCTCTTGTTTACAAGAGTTGGTTTATTTGTTGGTGAACAACTCTGTTGTGTTTTCTCCGAGCGTTAGAAGTGATTCGTCTTGTCCAGTTCACTGTTATTGCTGTTTCAATCTTTCTGGACGGGCATATTTATATGTTATTAGAACTTATTTTCTATCGACTACGCTGTAATCTTAAGAACTTTTGAAGGAATCTTCAAGCTTGTTGCTCTCATTCCGTGCATCTCAAAACAAATTGTCGCCAAAATAAATGACTACCAAGTTTGCATCTATTGTATAGGTTTCATCCCCATCAGCATTATTTGTAGTTGGAAGGGTGCTGCTAGTGGAAGCTTCTCAAGTTTTATGCTCTCAGTAGAAACCAGTATTTAATACTGGTCGAACCCTTTCTCAGGACTGAAATTAACAATATCTCTTTAAGCTTTATTCTTCAGTCAGGAGTGAATATGCAATTAATTCTACAGTTTGTGATAAAAATTAATGAATTCTACCATTTGTTGATGATAAATGAATTCTCGATGATAATTGAATTCTTACATATGTTGATAATTAGCAATTATTGAATGAGGCTGAGTAGGATATGAAGAATTCTGCAGATCAAAGACGGTGTTATCCAGTGAGGCTTCCGTGATCTGCAGAATTCTTCATATCCTGCGAAAGCCGAATTCAATCATTGTTTTATTATTCCTTCAAAATAATTCCAAGTTTAAAAACAAGCTAAAACATGCTAACCTTGGTCAATGTAAATTCATATCGATAATGCATCTTAAGCGGGAAGTTTAGGAGATGAAGATCTGTTCAGGTCTGCAAAGATGCTCCAAAGAGCAGATGTCGTCCGTCTTCATGCTGTTCTTGCCATGTTTTTACACAATATTTTGCAGTGAAATGAGTAAAATGTTCTGCTGACTGTTCCGCCATTTTGTTTTAACTACCAAAACAATTCTGTTCAATATGACAAAATTCTTTCCAAATTTGGTCAACAGCAGCTGGTTATGGTGAATTATGCGTGTGGTTTAACCAATCAGAAAAAGGGAAATATTTTGAATGAATGATAATAATGATTATTTAATTAGTCACCAGTATATCCCGACTGAACTGGCTGATTGAACACTTTTTTGTAATTCCTCATTTCACAGCATCCAGTTACGTATTTTAGCACGTGCAGTGGAGATGCTAGCCCCTGGAGGTCGCATTGTATATTCTACGTGTACTCTTAATCCTGTGGAAGATGAAGCCGTTGTCTCTACCTTGTTACAAAAAGCTGAAGGTAAATCTTGTTTATTCTGATATGGTTAAACTAATCACTTAAACATTCCTTTGATTTAGTTGCAACAGTTGTTACTCAGAAACATCCTTTGTTGATCTGATATGAGCAGTTCACAAAGTTGTAAAACGCATTCTTACTAAACCATCCTTTCTTTCCTTTTATGGACGTTGTTCAAACCAACTGCTTTCTTTTCATTTCAGGGGCACTGTTTGCTTCTGTTAATTTAGTTATTAATTTGCATCTGATTTAGGGGCAATGGAACTAGTTGATGTTTCATCATACCTTCCAAATTTAAAGAGATCACCAGGTTTGAAGACGTGGAAGGTAAACACTTTCCTTTTTGTCCCCGTTTACATTCCCCTTTTTATACCCTAAGTCCAAAACCCTCCAAACTTTCTTAGTTTGTCTACTCTTTTTATCTGTCTAAGGCATCACTATAAAGACATTATGTGTCACACGAACTAAAGCTTTAGGTAAACAAAGGCAGGTCTATGGTGTCAAGGTGGTATTATAAGATTTTGCATCAGTTGACTGTTCATTAGTAGTTAACTTAAAGTTACAATATTATGGTACTGCTAGGAAAAATAACTATCTAGGCAGATTTTAATAATGCTTTGTAAAGGTTTGAAAATTGCTCGTTTCTTCTTACCATAACCATCCTTGCCAAGGTACAAAATACTCCTCGCGCATCTTGTGCTGTCCAGATAATAATTATTTCCGTTCTAGTACCAGGCGCACCGTTTCCAAGTAGTGCAAATAGGGGCTACTAGATTGTATTTTTAATAAATGTTTGTCACGAGCGGCAGTCAGATAACAGAAACCTTTTTTGTTCCCTTGAAAGGATAGCTTTCCTGATGACGTTCTTTTCAGTTGAGCCTGCAAATACAGCCCCCTATCATTGCTTCCTGCTGCTGGGACGTTTCTCGAGAGAAAAGTCTACATTTTGGCCAAAATAATTTCATACTGATGACCTAACGATGACCATAATCTGGTCAGGTTTTCTGAGTGGTTGACGTAGTAATTAAACGTCATTAGTTATTTTTTACAAATGAGAGACAGAAGTCAGGAAAGTCGCAAAATTCAAAATGTACAACGTGCTGGATCTATCTTGAAACACTCTTTTATTACGATTATTTAGGCTTGGCAAGAAGTGGTGCTAAAACTCAAAATTTTTCAATAGCCGCGAAGGAAAAACAGAAACGTAATCAAATTTTCATCTGCGAACTCATGGCTACCAGATTTACGTCATTAGTGTGGATTTTTGAGGCTCAAATATAGACTTTTTCCTGCAAAGTGTCCGCAGTGGTGGTTATCGATGAGAGGCGGATCTATTGACAGATGTTTCAGTTGTATAAACGTGGCAGAAGGGGTTATTTTGTGAGCAAACGTTAAGTCAAAGGTTTCTAGATTTTTTCCTACTGCCGCATTCTCATATAAACGTTTGTAAGAGTGATCTTTTGTTATAGTAAGTTTTCAATCATTTATTCGTTCATGTTCTCTCGTTTCTGGACAATAATTGCTTTATCAAAGCACCATTATTTGTGAAGTCCTGTAGTAATTTGTCGAATTAAGATTAATAATTTTAGATTGTTATTTACAGTAGTTCATGATCACTAAATTTTCTGTTGCAGTTGATGACCAAGGATTTGCAGATTGTGGATAACTGTGATCCGGGATCAAAGCACTTCTCGAAAGGTTTTAAGCCACAGATGTTAGCTCCACCAGAGGAAGTTGCAAGCAAACTGCACCTGGAAAGATGGTATGGTTATTTAACAGATTATAATGTATGTTTACTTTTTGAAGTGATAAACGCAGCATAAAGCACATTTGTAAATATTTTGGTTGCAGACATAACACCAGAAGCATTAGCGTTAATGGGAATTGCTAGTTAAAAAAAGGCATAGGTGAATTTGGCAGGTACGTTCTGTCGGATAGCTCCGTTTGGCAAGTTCAGGATTTCTAATAACTGTCTCTGTTTGTAGACAACTTTTCTGTCATGGTAGCTCTTCTTTTTCTGGTGGTTTTGCTGTATTTTCTCAGGCACTCCTTCGGGATCATGACGGTGCCACAGGGTACTTGCTATGATGACTAATGTCTTTATTACTGCGACATAAGACATTGTTGAGGGCTTTATTGCATTCCACCATTAGGGGTAGTTCTATAGTCTACCAAGATCTTAGTTGTCTCTGATGGCTTTCATGAATAGCCCATTTGGCTTCTTTCACTACGGACTCAACTTTTCCTTTGGAGTTTGGATGGTATGGGGATAAGGTGACATGATGGAACTCCCTGCACTCTGTCGCAAGCTTGAAGGATTTCTTACTGGCGATCTCGACCGGGCTTCCATTGATGCAGACAAGGCTATGGCGAATACCATGTCATACCACTGGGTTTATGAACGTTGGAATACCTTGGGAGTACATGACAGGCCAAAGGGAAGGCAGGCAAACTCGCACAATGTTTCTTTTAAAGAAACCTCAGATATTTGTGGTGGCTCTTTCATATAGCTACCAAAAAATAGGCATCCTTCAGGTCTGTATTGACCATTAAGTCTCCTTTTCTTAACATAACCCTAAAAATGTGAATGCCCTTTATTTTGAAATGTTCGTAATGGATGTGCAGATTGATAGGGTGGTGGTTTTCCACAGGCCTCTAGGCACCCCCTGTTTGGGAACCGAAAATTGGGTGCTTGCAAACCCTTGCTGTGTCTCCTCTGGGTGGACCAATTGAATAGCCTCTTTCTAAATGATTCACTAAATTTCTAGTTGTACAATATCTTTTCTCTTTTTTGTGTGAGTGTTTGTTAGGGGAAGAGAGAATTAGTGTGGGTGCGCAAGAAATCCAGATGATCTCCCTCAACAGCCTCCAAAACCCAAGGGTCTTTGGTGATTGCGACCCTGTTGGATATACAATGTTTCAGGCGACCTGCTAGAGGAAGATGACTTATGACTGTCACGATTCAATGTAAAATCATACCTGGTAATAGGTGCGGAGGTCTTCCTTTTGGGTGGCTGGAGGAGCTTGCTGTAGCCCCCTTCTGGCACCCCTTCCTTGGATCCTGAATGAAAGATGAAACTGATTGACTGGTACCACCCCAACGGTCCCCTCATCTTTTGAAAGAGGTGATGCAGCCTCGCAAAACCTGAGTAGTTTGGGAGCGGTTCACCACAGAAGCAGCTTGAAGCAAAATTCTTGCTGTTTGTGATCTGGTTTGAATTGTGGCCTCGGTCCATCGCCGAAAAAGGTTTTTGTCAGTCTGCGGAAATTCTTGTGAGGCAAGAGGTGACAGAGTTCCCTTTGAATTGGGGTTGTTTAGGACAGCTTCACGTCTCTCAGAAGAAGTGCAGAGGCATTACCTAGTGTATGAATGGCATTAGATGGAGTTGCTCTTGGATCCTTCACCTGCTCACAACTAAGGATTACATTCTTGGCTGATTTGGCTTCGGCAAGGAGACCGTAAATACGCTCAAATAACATAGTTACCGGACCAAATGTGATCGAGACACGGTCCTGCATAAATCTCATGCGCTTGTCGACAGTTTTAATGCCAGGCACAAGACTAGGTAGATAGTTCTCCTTGGTTAGAGTGTAAAGAGAGTCTAATTTAGAGCGGGAATACCTTTTAGTAACTGCTTTCTGCTCAAAAGGTGACAAGGGCTTTCCTAAGAAAGAAGATAATTCTTCATTTGCTCGCCAGCGTAAACTTTGGCAAGGATTATGGTCTTCTTCCTCGTTCTCATCGGATGAAAAGGACCCACTCAGAAGCACCGGGCTCAATAAGAAGAACATCTTCCAAAAGGTTGTCAGCTCGTCTAGGCCTTTTAGTTGCCTGGGGTATCGGTGTCATATTCTGAGTGAGCCTTTATCGCTCTTTCAAAAGTCGTGTTAGAACTGAGAGCCTGGATCGCTTCATCGACTCTTTCTTAACTCAATCGATCGAAAGCTTGCCGAGGCAAATTTAGCACCTCGGGAACGTTAAAAATCTTCTGGACAAGGGAAACATAGTGGACATTACCTTCCTTGTCAATCGCTTCAGCCTCTTGAGGCGGGATGTATGGCACCTCCAGCTGGAGGATTTTCTTGATCACGCGCAGCCATACTCATCTTCGGTTATAGCGAAATGAAATGGCGATGGGACTCACTGCTGCGAGGCTTTATGTATGGGATATTGTTTTTTATTATTCTAATTATGCAAGTTTGCTGTTAATACAAAGTAATAATTGTTCTGGTTTCAGAGCGAAGTAAGGTTGGTTACACATTGTTATATGAGGCTGCTGTTCTGAAGTGTAACTAAAACCTTTCGCGGTCACTTTAAAGGTCTTAAAACAACGGTAGTTACAAACAAGAAACGATCTCATAACCTTGTTGACTGCTGAGATGAAACATTTTTGGTCATTGTTCTAATAGTTTTCATATTTTTGTTTTAATCGTTATTTTGTGATCTTGCAGTATGAGAATATATCCCCACCAGCAGGACACAGGTGGATTTTTTATTGCAGTTCTTGAAAAAAAGCATGACGCACCTTGGGAAAATGACAAAAGATACAGCTTGAACCGGAGACTGCTGCCATGGGAAAGTGAGGCCGACTGGCAGGTAACAAGAGCTTTGCATTGCAACATTTATAAACTGTACATTCTGTTAAAAATCACATCGATTTGGAAGCTAGGTACTAATTTAACGAAGTGTATCAATCCGTATTCTCGCTTTTTTATGGTCTTTTTTTCGAAACCATATAAATGCCTTGTAAAATGTCCTTAAATGTACCTTACCTAGGCTAGCGGTCTGTGGTAAGTTTTGATTTTTATTTAATTCCAAGAGGAGACGGTGACAAATCCTGCAATCTGATTGGTTCTTGGCACGGTTTGGATTTTCCTGTCCCTGCCCACAGTTCCTGTAATGGCTTCCTTCACAAAATTAGTCGTTGTTTGTGAATGAGCGAAAGCTGTGGTTTTGTACAATTTTCCTTTAAAACATGGGCTATTATGAGCACTTGCAAAGAGAAAGTGAATCGTATTACTCAGAGAAAATTTCCTACCAAATTAAGCTAGTAAGCCGTGAAAAGCCTGAATACAATACAGAAAAAGGTTCACCGTGCAGTGATTGTCGTAGCCTCCCAAGCAGAAGTGGGGAAGGAACAAGTGACGAAGCCCTAAGAACGCCTGCGGTGATTGCCGCTGAGTTCCGAAAATACCGGACGAGTTAGTTAAAGAGACTTCCGAAAAAGGATTAGCAGCAAAGTGGAAATCAGACGTGTAAATGACCATTAAAATTGATGAAATCAAAAGGAGTACAAGGAGGGCGATTACCAGTTGCCTCTCACGCAGACGTTTTTAGGGGAGTCTTACTTCCTGCCCTAAAAACGCCTGCGTGGGAAGCTAGGTTATCGGCCTGGACCTCTTCTCGGAAGAGCCCCTGCGGTTCGATTCTTGTAAGCGACCACTCAGTCTTTGCATTTTGGGTGGTCGCTTACGGGAGGTTCGACTGTATTAACTTTATGATCAGCTTTACTCTATTTTGTAGCATGAAAAAAGCTCGTTTGAAATACATTCATTTCTTGTAGCGAAAAAAGGAGCAAAATAGTAAAGAGACGAAAGAGTTGGTGGAGGAAGAGAACACTGCAAACAGTTCCGAAACTCAGGACATGATTGATGAGATGGATTGTCACGATGCTGAAATGAACAGTGAGGCATCAACTACAGAGGAAAACATCGAGGATGATGCAAACAGCGAAGTTGTTGTTGAGTTAGTTAAAGGTCATAATGCTGAGCAGGAACCTGAAAGCAGAGGAGAAAATGTTGGAAAAGAAATAAAGAGCACTGGAAAAAGTGGTGGCAAAAAAGGCAGTGGGGAATCAGACGTGTAAATAACAACATTGTATTTACATATAAGTTTACCTACTGTTAAGGCACAAAGTCACTGTGGAAAAGACTCAATTTTTCTCATTCTGAAATACAAACAATGACAGGTGTTTAGTTACCTTCTCAGTCCATGTGATCGTATTTAAAATTCTGTGGGGCGTTGAAGAACCCACACACTTTTCGTAAATGAGTAGTGGTGGTTAATCTCAATTCACATTCGCACTAGGTGCGTTCATAATTATTCAATTTTTTATTGTTGATTGCACTTCAAGCAGTCTTGCTAAGTCCCCAACGCAATCTTGAAAGCTCTGAGGAGAGTGGATGATAAGATATTTGCAATTTACAATAATGCAAAGAAAGCGTGTTGAGCGCCCTTGGAAGTGGCTTTGTTTTATATTCTGCCATTACTTATAGGTATTTCAACTACTATCGCTGCTTCAACCTTTTCAGACAGTTTGGATTACACTTCCTTCCTTCACTGTTTCATAGGGTTCAACCTCCCAGAAAAAGGCCTAAGGTGGAAAAGAAAGGTTTTAAAGAGGATCCCTTTGTATTTCTCAAAGATGATGATGAACACTGGCCTCTTATAAAGTAAGTTTTCTTCTCTTTTTAAATACTTTTAAGTGTTAACTTCAAGTCTCGAAACAATCAATAAACCGATAGTGATACATTTGTATCTACAATATTCCTCTTGGGACTCTAGTTGTTTTTCTACTTTGAATTTTTGTGTTTCATCACTTGATGTACTTGTAACCCTCTTACATGTTAAAGTACCCATAACTTATTATCTTGCAGTATAAAACTTTGGAATGCTGTCCACATTATGAGTAGTATAGGACGCATAACGTAACCTACACCACTTGAGAAGCTATACTTAGAAGTAGAAAAAGTTCCGCACGAAACCTAATACAATCCTAATATACATAATGATATGATTCTCTCTACTTAAAAAGTCAGTTTAGAATAGTATTAAATTCTTATACTTTGTAAAACCTATGCAAAGACATGATGATATAATTATCTCTACTAGAGGCCTATTTAGAACATTTTTCAGTTTTTATACTCTCATTTTCTCTTATAAACCTACACGAGACCATCATAATGTGGTTATCTCTACTAAAAGCCTATTTAGAATAATATCAAACTCTTATACTCTATAAAATCTACGTAAAAACATTCAGTAAAATACAGGTTTTGTGACACTTGTGTTTCTGGATTTCTGGAGAAGAAAAAACTTAAAAGCTGGTGTCCTTAGCGCCCTAACTAAGTATTTATGTTAAATGTTCTGGCAATGTTCAAAGTGTTTGAGATGACCGACTTCTGCGTCCGCTCCTAGTAGCTTCCTCACCCACTTCTCTAGGTGTTTAGAGTAACCACCCAGTACTTCAACTATAACGTTGTACTGTTCAACCCTGTAACCACTGTATCTCCGCTTAAACTCCCACATCATGGGTCCATTCTTAAGTGATTTTTCCTCATTTTTCTTGGCTCTACTCTCAATCCATGGGCAGCTTATTTAAGTGGCAGATTTCTTTCCTCTCGTGGCTGACAAGTCGCGCGTCGATCCGATTTGCTCTAGCGTCGTTGTGCTCTGCATAGATGGGAATATCCCAAAACGCCTCACTCGTGGTGTTCTGGTAGGCTGGTTTTGGCATCACCAGTGAGTACCATGGTGGAACCTCTTGTAGCAACCCATGCCCTCGCAGGAGCTCAAAAAACAAAATCTTCAAAGCTGCATTATGCCTGTATAGGTGCTTGGTTTTTGCCAAGGGGAACATCCAGCCAGTACATGTGCAATGCTCTCAGCTACCTTCACACATAACCTGCAGAGGACTTCGCCGTCGGTCGAGGTTTGCGTCTTCTCCTTGGTTTAGAGCTTCGTAGGTAATAACTGCTCATACAGTTCACACATTCCCGCGAGGGTGTATGTAGGGCATGTAGCCCAACCTCTTAACCGTGCAAAGCAGCTGGTTATGCTTAGGCTCTTATCTTCCTATCTGATACTGAATGACTTTCCTTGCCACTTTTTGTCTTTAGCGATCTCCAAGAACTGCAGCTCTTGAGATTTCTTCAACAGATTCCCAGCTCTTGCCGCAGTCACCACCTTTCCTTCCGTTGTAACACACGCGGGATTTAGGGCATCTAGCGGAAGTGTAAGGTTGAGTTCCTCAGCGTACTTAGCTGCTTCCCTCACAAGCGACTAGTGGCCTGATGCCATGGCGTGTTCTTCAAATTCTCTAACTGCTTCCACAGTGTGGTCCGAATTCTGATACAATTTTAGTAGCGACTTGATTTTAGTGAGCTTGTACTCCTGTTCGACTGATCGCAGGCCTCTACCCCCTTTCTCCCTCGTTAGATTTAACAAAAAAGTTAGGCTAGCTGGGTGCTTGCCACCTTTCTCAACTATGATCTTCCGAGCTGTTCTGTCCACATCTCTTAACTCTGATAGAGGCCAATGCTGTGTCCACATTAAGCACCTTAGCACCGGGAGTGCATACTGATTAGTTGCCTGTACACGGTTACAGTCAGACAGGGGACTGGACCATGTAATAGATATCCTGCGCAGATACTCTTTAGCCGCACACGCCAGGGCTAGCCGTTCATCCTGTCGAACGTTCTCTAGCACCCCCAGGAATTTGTAGTGTTTTCTTTCCCCAAGGGCAGTGATGGTGGTTGTCTCGTCCATCTTCATACCAGACTTTTCTAGCACTTGGGCTCCCCTCTTCACGTGTACAACTGAGCACTTTTTCTGATTCCAGTAAAGGCCGATATCCTGCATCTCTCCTCTAGATTCTTTCAGCACTCGGTTCAGCTTTCTCTCTGAGGCAGCAAAAACCTTCAGGTCGTCGATATACAGGAGATCGGCGACTTTGACTTCTGTAGGCTTGAATAACCGCTATCCCTCCGTTGCCCGTAGGCGCGACGCCACTGGCTTCAGACACCATGTAAACAATCTAGGACATAAAGCGTCCCCCTGGGGTAGTCCCTTCACGAACGTTATTTTTCTGGAAGTCTCTCGCCCTTGCCTTGTTGTAGCTACTACTCTAGTATTCCAGCTCCCACACAGCTTACGTATAACCTCACCCAGCCAGACGGGAAGCCTGTGTACTTCGGACAGGTCGCATAGCCAATCATGGTCGACGGAGGCGTAGGCTTTGTGCACGTCAATACATCCCATGCTTAAATTCCGTTTGCCTCTCTGGCAATCCAGCATTACTGCTATATTGAGGTACACCATGATTTCGCTCCTCTTTGCTGGCCTTCCATCAGGCCATAATAATCAAAGTGTTGGTCCATGGGTGCCAGGAGGCAAGATGTAAACCACTTATACATGTTATTCAGACAAGTAATAGGTCTTTGATTTTCACTCAGGAACTCGCCTTCTATCGGTATGAGAGAGGTTTTACCTTAAGAAAGCCAATCGGGGTATTCTTCGTTGCTCTTAAAAACGTCTTTGAAGCTCTCGACCACACTCTTGTGCAGGGCACCAGCACGTTTCCACCAAACGTTAGTGATTTTATCATTATCATTACTATTATTATTATTATAAATCTTTATTCAATACTCATAAAAAAGACCTATGTACAGTGCTCCACTTAAAAAGAATTAAAACGAAATTTGTACCTTCACATCTGTTAGAAAGAAATGAAAAGATCATGTCTCCTTGTCTCTTGAAATATAATCCACGAAAATGTTTCTTTACTAATTATTATTAGTATTACTATTAGCAGTCACTACCAATATTAAACATCTTTTCACTAATTCCTCTTTAAAATCTGCCACGATTTTAACATGAACCACTAGCGACCTCCACTTCGGTGAATAATTGTTATATAATTATCAATATAATGATTATTGAAAGTGAGGAATGATCATCGCCGTAAATTTTCCGATTTAAGCAATTGGAAAGAAGAAGCCTCACGGGAGATATGAACTCAATAAATTGACCTCGCTCCCAATGTGTGGCTTCATAGCTCAGTTGGTAGAGCAACGCACCGGCAACGCGGAGGTCACGGCTTCGAATCCCGTTGAAGCCCTGATTTTTTCAGGCTTCTTCTTTCCAATTGCTTAAATTAGAAAATTTACTGCGATGATCATTCCTCACTTTCATCTACAACCGCAGTTCAAAAATGAATTATTTCATATATACTTCACATAATGATTATTATTACGATTACTATGATTGTTATGATGATGATGATGATGCTGATTATCATTTTGTTATTATTAAATATTATTATTATTATTATTATTACATATTGTTATTATTATTATTAAAACATTACATGGCGTAAAAATTGTTTTCTTGTTCCATATGGAAAACCGGAAGGGAGATAACAAGGCACATTCATGACTGGAACAATGGGACTGAGATGCAGCAGCAGTTGGTCTTCAAAAACTAAGCAAAAAATCAAAGCCAAAAGATCCTCAAGAATGTCCTGCAAGGCGATTAGAACTGTGGAAAGAGGGAGAAATTGACACTCTTCTGCGAGAGGGGCGAATGATACAAAGGCACCTTGATAGATCTCGGAAAGCGGATCCACCGAATAACGCAAAGATCTTCGCTGATGGAAAGTCAAATACACTCAGCTTTACGCTATCTGAGCGAAGAGGATTGTGGGGGCGTATTACCATTAACGAAGCAAGTCATGGAACAACTTGCGGATAAACATCCAGAGGCACAACAAGCTTAATTGGGCTCTGTGTTATTCGGGCCAGTGGAAGATGTTCCGGCCATCCTATATCAGCAAATAAACGGAGAGATGGCGCGAGAAGCACCCGTTAAGAACTCAAGTTTCTTGTGGGCCCTCGGGCGTGGATGCGAACGGGTTCAAGAGAATGCTGGCCTGCAAGTCTTTTAAGAAGTCCAGCATGAACCTTTGTGACTCCTTGGCTACTCTAGCAAGACGACTGTGTACAGAGTTTGTTGATCCCCTCACTATTGAGCCAATTTTGGCTAGTCGGTTGATTCCACTTGATAAAGGCGATGGGGACGTTTGGCTGATCGGTGTAGGAGAGGT